GCGGGGCGAGGGCAGCCGACAGATGCAAAACGTCAGCTTACTGCTGCAGGTAAGCAAACCTCAGACACACCCGCTTCATTTGATTGACAAATTAGAGCTTCGGGAGCGAGCCACAGGAGAGCAGCATTAGAGAGACCGCTGTGGAGGCATTAGTGCCATTACCCACGATGAGACGCCACAATGTGCTCAGCAGCTCCACGTAAAGCATTTGACCTGGTTACAGATGCAGAGCTGATGTGAGGCCGTCGTTCCTGGAAGGACCATTCAAATTATAGCCTCACACTGAATTTCCTGAACAGTTGAACTTAGCACAACAATCATTACCCAACAACACTTTTGACACTAAGCAGACGCTGCTCTTTAAAGAAACAGGCGCGCAGCCATTGCTGGTTCCTTGCATTTTAGAGAAATGTTCCAACTTTTGCTGGTGAAGACCAAGTGTTTTGATGAGAACTTCAGAATACTGACATGGAAAAGGAAAGAGCATAACTGGAAAGCATCAGGACAAAAGGACAGAGAGAGACCGTTTGTATCGACTCACCTTGAGGTCGCGGTGGACCACGCCCATCTGGTGGCAGTGCAGCACAGCCTCTAGGATCTGCTGAATGCAGTGACTGCATGCAAACACCAGGGGGCATGGGTTAGTGACGAGCTAACACTCATATTTGTAGCTGTGAGCTTGCTTTGAGCCTCGGGGAGCTGGCGTGTTAGTGGGCGGAGCTCAGTAATGTGGCAACTCGCCGCCCAGAAGCTAAAATTAGCAGCAACTTGAGGTAATTTGGCTGAAAACGGGCCGTTCACTCAACAGGGCTTTTTCTGTGCTGCCACAGTTAAAACACATCCTGGAACTTCATCATCATCCTCACACACAGCTCTCTGCCCGAGCCTCAGAGCAGAGGTTAGATCTGGAGGCGGGGCAGAGAGGCGGAGCTACAGAATAGTGTGGTTTATTACAGGAGCTGACACAGTGTGTCCCTTTACAGGATAATGTTACAAACTTTACTGAAGACAACATGTGAATGACAAACCAAATATAGTGCTGCAGGTTCACTACATGTTTGTGTAGGTGACATGGTTCCTCCTAACATGGAACATGGATGCAGCATTACAGACATGTAGCGTCTAATGACACGCTCGGGCTGAAGCTACACGGTCCAGACGAACCAACGCTGAAGAAGAGCTGGTTGACCCGTGTGCGTTTGACATCAGGTGACCAGCTCAGGTCCGTGTGTGCCTGCACAGTGGCATCGATCCTTCAGAAACTCACTGCAGCCCTTAGTTGCTCCCAACACAATGAAGGAGTGTGCAAAC